TTCCTTCCTTCCCTCTCTTGTTCCTTCCTCCCTTGTCTGCCTTCCTTCCCTCCCTCCTCCTTCTTTCCTTCCTCCCTCCCTCATGTCTCCTTCCTTCCTTCCCTCTCTTGTTCCTTCCTCCCTTGTCTGCCTTCCTTCCCTCCCTCCTCCTTCTTTCCTTCCTCCCTCCCTCCTGTCTCCCTTCCTTCCTCCTCTTGTTCCTCCCTCCCTCATGTCTCCTTCCTTCCTTCCCTCTCTTGTTCCTTCCTCCCTTGTCTGCCTTCCTTCCCTCCCTCCTTCCTCTTTACTTCCTCCCACCCTCATCTGTCTCCTTCCTTCCTCCTCTTTCCATTCCTCCCTCCTTCCTCTGTCTCCTTCCTTCCTTCCTCCTCTTGTTCTTCCCTTCCTGTCTCCTTCCTTCCTTCTCTCGTTCCTTCCTCGTCTGCCTTCCTTCCTTCCTTCCTCCTCTCGTTCCTTCCTCCCTTGTCTGTCTCCTCCCTCCCTCTTTCTTCTCTTTACTTCCTCCCTCCCTCATCTGTCTCCTTGCTTTCTTCCTTCCTTCCACATGGACAACCGTTTGTCTAAAGTGGGAGCTATGGGTCTCCTGCTTGAGGAAGGGTTGGACTAGAAGACCTCCGAGGCCCCGTCCAACTCCGTCATTGGGTTACAGCGGCACACCGCCTCCCCCTCACCCCCGAGAACCGACCCCGAGGATCTTCCCCCAAGGGAGAGCAAACTCACCTCCGTCCCAGGGAAAATAAAGGCTCAAGATGGACGTGCAGAAATTACAGAGGTTTGGAAGCGATTTGAGGTGTTGCTGGAATTTCCCGTTGGGGAGTTTGGCGTTAAGCAGGCCGGCTAGAAGACTAAAGATGGAGGCATCCAAAGAGGCGGGTCTGAAAACGAGAAGACAAAACAAGACACGATCAAGAGACTCGGCCGCAGCACGGGACAGTCCTCGACTTACGACCAACATTGAGCCTGCAAACGGTTGTTAACACCGGGGACTCTGCAGCCATCATAAATAGGAGTTAGTTGTCCGAATCGTAATCATGTGATGCTGAAACCGTTATCATCACCTCTGAAAGACCTCGTAATCCCTTGCAACTGAATGTTTGCTGGCCAGATGCCTTTCCTGTTGCCAGAGCGGAGTATTGTTCAGCCGATAGATTCTCATTGTTCCCAGAGAGAGAAATATCTGCCGCTGCCTAGGATCAAACTTCCGATCATGAGGGCTGGAGCTTCCTCTCTAGGCCACCGCGCCACTCAGATGCTGCAACCCGAGTCCCTTCTTCCGCCGACGTAACTTCCAACGGTCACTAAATGAATGGCGGTAATTTGGGGATTACCCGTTTAGGATGATTGCCATCTCCCATAGTGACGGGATCACCCTGAGCAACCTTCCCCAGGGTGTGCAACAAACGACGTCAGGCCACGTGATTCGCTTAATGACAGTGCCAAGAAACCCGTAAAACCGGGCACCGCCGACTCACCGCAAAGTCCCGATTTTGGTCGTAAGTCGAGGACTACCTGAAAACAGGTAATTAAGACTCCCGTTTTACTTACGACGCTCAACACCCAAGTTACTTACGAGTCTCCGAAGAAGAATTTCTTCCGGCCGAGGCGTTGAGAGAGGAGAGTGAGACATTCGCAACCGTCTCGATAAAGCTGCGGGTACAAAAAAAAAAGAGAAAACGATTGTTGGGTCACGCGTCCTTCCTCCCTCTTCCCCTCAACCATTAGCACCTCCAAGCCTTTGGACTACAAGTCCTATCGTCCCCAGCCAGGCTGGCACGGCCCACCTCTCTTCGTGTGGAATATGTACAATAATACTAGGATATGATTATTGGAAGGATGTACTAAACACCGATTAATTGAAAAATGAAGGAATTCGTGTTGATGTCACTATATATATATATAATAATTCTAGACTATTTTTGTCCAACTAATGAAATGATAATGTATTATATTGGTTTTATACCGAAACGAACGATATTCAGACGCCACTATCCATGCAATGATATTGATATTTAAAAAAAACTTTTATCTAGAAATAATAACAAGAAGGAGGAGGAGGAGGAGGAGGAGAAAAAGAAGAAAAAGAAGAAGTAAAGAAAAAGAAGAACTAAAAGAAAAAGAAAAAGAANCTCTTCTGTAGGTGTGGCCTGCTTTCCGGGTCCACTGGTGGAACCTCTTCTAACCGGTTCGGTAGATTTGATGAACCGGTTCTACCGAACTGGTGAGAACTGGTAGGAACCCACCTCTGTCGTAGGATCTACTGAATGAAGATTCAACCTGTTTTTTGGGGGGAGATAAATCTGTGTTTATTTTTTTCTAGAAATACATCTGGATCAGTTTTTCTTCTCCTTGGCTCTAGGGAGGCAAAGAGGGGAGGGGGATTTAGGCAGGAAGCCGAGAGACCCTCGGTTTCTGTCGCCAAATGAAGCTTCTTTTGCGCCCCTCCGACGTGCACGACTGGACTCCGAATCCCATGCTCCCGGGGCCGAGAGCACCATTATCCGAGTCTCTTAAAAAAAGTCCTGTGTTTCCTTGGCTTATTCTGCTAGGAAAATCGGGACGATTTTTCATTCAAAGTGACAGCAGCAATGGAAAAAAAAATAAGGGGGGAATTTATGACCGGTTCCTCGCACTTACAACCGTCAACGCCCACGCGATTCGCTGAACAACGGCGGGGATTTGCTGAACGACCCCCGACAAAGCGAAATGAAATGCGAGTTACTGAATAACCCTTTGCTCAGTAACAGGAGTTCCGGACCCAATCCTAGTCGTAAATTGGGCATCTTGTGGTGGGGAGTTCCACAGGGCAAACCAACCCCCTGGTTCTTATTTTCATGCTCAGGAACCCTTGGACTGGTCTTATTTTATGACTCTGCTGGGAAGGAAATAGAGATTCTAAAGGCATCAAGGTAAAATATAAGAAATAAGATTCCTTAACCTTTTGGCCATGGCTGTAAAGTGAATCACGGCCGTTAAGTGAATCGTACCAAGCCCCCCCCAAAAAAATCGCAGCTCCTAATACAATCAATTATAGATAGTCTTCAACTTACAGCCCATTCAGTGACTGTTCGAAGTTACAATGGCCAAAAAGGGACTTAGAACCATTGTCTCACACTTACGACCTCAGCATTCACAGGTTGGCACCTGGCTCACACTCACGACGGTTGCAATTACAACAATGAAAAATGTGACTCAGGGTTGTTTTCCACTCTTACGCCCAATGCAGCCTTCCCGCAAGTCACCTGATCAAAATCCAGGCAACCGACTCGTATTTACGACGGTCGTAGCGTTCCCCCCCAGGGAAGGTACGCCGATCCCCATTTACGTCCTTTGGACAAGCCGAGTCCCCGGGGAAACTTAGTAACGGTGCGAGCGAGTTAGCCATGGCCGAGATCCGTTTCGTCCCCGCGGCGAGAAAAGTTGGTCGAACTCGCCGGACAAGCGTCTCGCTTCGCGACGGGCGTCTGGGGAGCTGTTGGGTGGGGGCGTACGTCGAGGACGGCCTGCCTAAATAAGGACTAAGGAACAGACAAGCTGTTAAACCTGAACCTCCCCCTGATTTATTGACCTCGATCGTCCCCGGAATGGATTTTAAAAAAAGGATTTTGAGACAGCGGTACCGGAGTCAGCTTAGCCGTACTAAAAAAAAAAAAAGAATTATTTTCAAGTCTGTTGGAAGCCGGTACTACTCCTCTTCCTCTTCCTCCTCGGCCTCGTCCAGGGTGATGGCGTGCTGGCCGGCATGGTGTGGGGTGTCCTTCTGGATGGACACAATCCCCGAGAGGAAGGCGTAGCCCACCATGGCCACCAGCGCCACCAGGACAGAGAGGAACTGGTTGCGTCGCTTGTGCGTCTCCCCGTCAGCGTCGGCGATGTCGCCGGAGGCCGCTTTGTGGAGGTTGGGTGGGGGGTCCCCTGCAGAAGAGGCAAAAGCGGTCAAGGAACAAACGCCTTCGATCCGGGGAGAAGCCACTGGCAAAGGTTTGGCGCTTAGCGGCCGTCGTACAAAGGTACGACGGACAGTACGATGGGGAGACACTTAGGAGCACTTCGAAGTGCCGATGGTCACGCGATTGAATCTCAGGTGCTGGACAACACAACTGTGGTTGCAGTTTCCTGTGGTCATCCTTCCTTCCTTCCTTCCTTCCTTCCTTCCTTCCTTCCTTCCTTCCTTCCTTCCTAGGGGGTTGGACTAGAAGGCCTTCAAGTTCCCTTCCAACTCTGTTATTCTATTATCCTTTCTTCCTCCCTCCTTCCCTTGTGTTTCCTTCCTTCTTTCCCTCATTCCTCCCTTGTCTGTCTTCTTCCTCCCTCCTTCCTCATGTTTCCCCCATTTCGGCCTGCCTCCCTCCTTTCTCTCTTTCCTCCCTCCCTCATCTGTCTTCCTTCCTTCCTTCTATCCATCCTTCCTAGGGGGTTGGACTAGAAGGCATCCAAGTTCCCTTCCAACTCTGTTATCCATCCTCCCTCCCTCCCTCCCTCGTCTTTCTCCTTCCTTCCTTCCCTCCTTCCTCCCTTCTCTGTCTCCTTCCTTCCAAATGAATGTCTAAAATGGGGGATATGGGTTTCCTGCTTCAGCAGGGGTTGGACTAGAAGACCTCCAAGTCCCATCCAACTCTGTTATTCTGTTATCCTTCCTCCCTTGTCTGTCCCCTTCCTTCCTACCTACCCCCTCTTTCCTTCCTCCCTCCCTCCTCCCTCCCTTCTTTCCTCCTCTTGTTCCTCCCTCCCTCATGTCTCCTTCCTTCCTTCTCTCGTTCCTTCCTCCCTTGTCTGCCTTCCTTCCCTCCCTCCTCCTTCTTTCCTTCCTCCCTCCCTCCTGTCTCCCTTCCTTCCTCCTCTTGTTCCTCCCTCCCTCATGTCTCCTTCCTTCCTTCTCTCGT